CATCTCCGTGAAGAAACAAGGTTCCCTAGCGGAGACAATGAGGACCATGAGGGACAAAATCTCCCTACCGGAGCTGGGGATCGACCAGATCAGGTCGATAAACAGCTTCGAGGGAGGTCTTCTCCTGGAGATTCCGGGAGAGAGGGAGGCAGCGAAAGTGAAGGCGTCTCGCCTCGCCTCCGCGATGATAATCGCCCTCGGACAATCCGAGGACGTTAAAATTTCGCGGCCAACGCGTCGGCTTGATCTCCGGCTTCACGGGATTGGGCCGGAAGCCAACTCGGAAGACATCCGGGAGGCCGTTGCGATGGCTGGGGAATGTTCCCCCAACGAAGTCAGAGTGGGGGCAATACCCTCCTCCACCACACGGGGGGTCAACACTGTCTGGGTGCAATGCCCAGACAGAGCCGCGGTTAAGGCGGCGGAATTGGGCCAGGTAACGGGGGGTTGGTCCACCATTAAGGTGGAACTACTAAAAAGTAGACCGGCCCGCTGTTACCGATGCCACGCCCGCGGACACATGCAGCAGCGCTGCCCATCTGGAATAGACAGGACAGCCTGCTGCATAAATTGCGGGGAAGAAGGGCACAGACTGGCACAGTGCAGGAAACCTGCTCATTGTCCAGTCTGTGCACAAAAAGGAGAAAAGGCGAACCATAGGGCGGGGTCGGAGAGCTGTCCTCCGATTGAACCCCGCAAGAGAACGCCCGCCCCACCGAGGAAGGAGAGGAGAACCGCGCCTGGAGAGGGAGGGGAGCCCCAAAGGGGGATAACCCCCTCCGTTGAAAGGACGGCCCTCCCAGCAAAGGAGGAGTCGGAGCCTCCACGGTCTGCCCCAGTTAGGGGCAGCGTGGAGGAGGACGAACTCCCTCCGGTCCAGATGGAGATCGAGCCACAGGGCCCGACCACTAGACTGAAGAGAGCAAGAGAAGAGGGTGGGGAGGAGGAGGAGAGTAACCCTTCTTTTCCTACTTCCACCCCCTCCCGCCGATCCAAAGTAAAAGTAGTGGAGAGGCCGGAGGAAGAAGAGAGGCCCCCCACGGAGTAACCAGCCTAAGGACTGCACCTCGTGGGAAGGGTCAGGGGAGGGAGGGCGGGAAGACTTGGCCTCTTATGAGGTACCTATCCCGTCCCCAGCTCCCCCCAAAGTAGGGACTAAAAGGAGAAGACAAGAGACAAAAGCCTCCCCCCCTATTAACAGAGGGGAGAAGAGTAATCCTCAAGGGGACGGTCAGGGGGAGGTCTGGATGACATGCCGCTGGCGATTCCCAGACCTCTCCCTCCAATAACCAGGCAAAGACATTGAAAAAGGGGTGGGGTTTTAGTGGGTAGGCGCCACTCCAGCAAAGCTCCGCTGGGGTGGTGAATCCCACACTCCCCTTCCGCAGTACGGTCACTAGGACTGCACATTGCACGCGGAAGGGGGTCTTTTAGAAGATTTTCCCATCCCTGGGGTCACCCTTGGGTGGCCCCAGCAACCAAAAAAAAAAGGTTATTTCTACGTCCCTCTCGTTGTGCGCCACCTTGTCGTGGTGAGAGGGCTTACCGTGGGAATACCTAAAAAGGTGTTTCTGCGGTGCTAAGAGCGCACA